GAGGGGGGATTGTACGGAGTTAGATACTATGTAGCCATAACAAAATTCTTCCTAGAAAGCCAAGGTCATCCTTTGTCTTCACACCTCTGCACTTGACTGGAACTGTATGGGTGGAACTGCCAGCATGGCAGTGGAAGATTGGACCATGTGATGGACTTGTGGGTGTGGGGACAAGATATTGAACTTTCAATTAGGTGTGAAAACGGGGAAGCTTTCAGATTCGGGTTTTCCCAGATGTACCAACATGGATCTCTTAATAAATTAGAACTTTGAGCAATACTTTGCCTTGGACTCTGATTTACTTTTGGGTGCTATTTGGAACCCTGACACTCTAAGGATCTGAATGGCTTCTGCAGAACTAGGGGGGGGTGGCTTTCTGCATGGAACTACACAACAGAAACTCTTGGCAAATGAATAAGGCTTATTCTCTTGAACAGAGAGGGTTTTTTTCTCCTTAGTCTTTTGAGGAAAGGAGATTCCCCACCCCACCCTTGATCAGCCACTTAGAAAAATTGCTACAAATGTCGCTGAAAAACAGCATCGAGATGAGAACAGATGACTTAAAGCTCCCTGCAAGGGACTATGGGGGGAAAAAATTGAACGTATTCAGCCATCCTATCTTACCATGAATGCTGCTCTTTGGGATACAGCGGAAAGGGTGGGACTTGTCAGCTGACATTGAAAAGCCTCACCCTTCTTGATCAGGGATTTTTTAAAGAAAAAAAGTCAAACAGAATAGCAGCTGTCCAGGGCTGCATGTGGCTTATGGGATGCGAATTGGACATGCCTGTCTTGGTATTGAAAATAGTTCCTCGGCATCACCAACAGGACATTGCTGAAATATTTTCAAATTTTGAAACAAAAAGCAACATTAGTTGTTAAAACACACTGAATGGAATGTGATTATCGTAGATAACTCCTTTACTCCCTTTAAAATCGTATGGCAAAATTAGGAAATGAAGTGACACACACAGACATGTGTCTCTCTGTGTATGTCTAGCTATCTGTGCATGTAATGTGTATATATATGCATATATGTATGTATGCATAGGGACATGGTGGTTCAGTGACTAAGATGTTGAGCTTGTTGATCAGAAAGGTTGGCAGTTCAGCGGTTCGAATCCCTAGCACCTCATAATGGAGTGAGCTCCATTACTTACGTTACTTTCTGCCCACCTAGCAATTTGAAAGCACGTAAAAATGCAAGTAGAAAAATAGAAACCACCTGTGGTGGGAAGGTAACAACATTCTGTGTCCCTTTGGCGTTGAGTCTTGCCGGCCACATGACCACGGAAACCTCTTTGGACAGTGCTGGCTCTTTGGCTTAGAAACGGAGATGAGCAACGCTCTCTATAGAGTCGGGAATGACTAGCACATATGTGCGAGGGGAACCTTTACCTTTATGTGTGTATATCACACACACACACACACACACACACACATACATAAATAAACAAATACACTTACATATACTACCTACACACTCACACATATACTATATAATATGTGTACATAATTATAAAGTGATCTCAATTACTTATAGAGAAGAACTACCGGTAAATGTTAGAAAATAAAAATGAGGTCTGGAAGTATCAATAGAAAGGGATTCATTATGAATCCCAGTTCATTATGATTTTGGACTTTCCTTCACGGTTTATTGTTTCGTATCTCTTATAATTTAAAAAGTGGAACAAATGGGGTAGGGAGAGTGACATGAATTCCAAACACAACATTCAAGTATCTCAAATAAACCAAGAACTCAAGCACCTTGCTTTTAGAGACAAAAAAATGAAGGCAATTCATTAAGGATTTTCCAATGACGGAAAGGATTAAAATTGTCAAAGCAATGATTTTTTTTTACCAGTAGTAATGTACTGCTGTGAAAGCTGGACACTGACACAAAGGAAGACAATGAATTATGGATCTGGAGATAGTTACTAAGACTGTGAATCAATTCTGGAAGGAATAAAGATTGACTGCTCCTTTGGGAAAATTGAACAGCAAGCACGTACTTTGGTTCAGAAGAGTGGATAATGAAGTAGAAAAAACACTCGGCAAGGAATAGAAGAATGGAAAGGAAACATATAAGGATGGATAATCAGGATCAGGGATATCATAGGAAGATCCTTGCAAGATTGCAGATCCAGAATAGGTCAAGGTGGTAGGCATATGCAGTGGCAATGCAGAAGTCCATTGGTATTTTGAGGGGTTTGGTGACATATTTTGATTTCTCATTCATTTTAAGAAGTCGAGAAGTTTAGACTTTGTTTTGAATTAACCTGCCTTTTTACTCTTATTTACTGAATAAAAGAGAAGGGATAGGAGGGAAGGAGGGAGTCTTTATATAGCTGCAAACCTGTGAAAGTCATATGTAACCTAGTCAAATCCAAATCCATGACTATAAAAGGGCCAGAGAGTCATGGTGTCAGGTTTTGATAAAAAATAATAATCTTGGAGTTGTTGTTGTCGTTTGTAGAGACCCTCTGTACAAAACCTAACACTGGGTACTGTGGAAATTGGAGCCTCTCTGCTCTCATGTTTAAGGAGCTCCTGGTAGCTTATTAGAGATCTCATCTTGTTTGGTATATATGCTTTTTATCTTATGCTTTTAAATTTATTTGAATTCATAATCTGATGGTGAGAAGCGAAAGGTCTTCAAAAGAAAAAAAAANTCATAAAAAATGTGAGAAACATAAATTTGATAGTGTAATTGCAATTAAAACATGGACAGAAAGAAAGCACATTGCACAACTTGCCTGAAGAACTTTGTGCTACCAAATGATCACAGATGGCCAAAACTGAATAAGATCAATAGGAGCTTTGACATATAAAAACAGCAGAGAAAGAAAGATGGAGAGAGATAGGAAGTCACATACACAGAGAGTGGGGGCAGGGAGGGAGAATGGTGTTTCAGAACTATAATGACTTTGAGATTTACAGAACAAGCTTGGACTTTGCTGTGGAATAATGGTGATTCACAATTTTTAAATTAAAAAAAAGCAATTTCCAAGCTTCCTTGGACTGGAAGTTACCACGAAACCTGTTCCTAAATAAAGCTAAATTTATTAAGGGAGGAACCCTGAAACACATTATGTGAGTTTACCTGAGGGTCACTGCTGATTTTGCGGAGACTCATGTGGCTTGGCTCTAGCTGGGATGCCAACGTGCCTGGTATGTGATATCCGTTCACTGTAAGAAAAAGACATGAAGTTCAGACCAAAAAGGCAGGAAAGGAGGGGGTGGCTTTTAAGTCACTCTGTTCAAATCAAGTATTTTACTTGACCTTCCCAATGGTGATTCACATATTATTTAACACTCTCCAGCACCAATTCAGTAAATGAAATACAGTATTCCACAGATACTATCAACCTCTTTGTTAAATGAAGAAATATTTATTTTATTTTATTTAACCTACTCTGTGCATGTTGGGGGTGGGGAGGAGGGCTCCCAAATGTTTTTTAAACCTAAAGCAGATCACAATTATTACTAAAATAGGCAATAAATAATCCAGCCATTATAAATCAAGTAAAAAAAAAAGAAATGTTTTTCTAGATTTTCTAAATGATAAAAGAATGGGGGTTAACCCAAAGGAACCCACAGGAGAAGATTGCATAGCTGAGGAGAAATGAAGGTACTGGGGAAAAGTATCTCTTCAAAAACATTTCCTATATATAACCTGGGATTTTGGGGGTTTTCAAACTCTATCTGTCAGGCCTGCAGCCATCTTTTCTGTTTGATCTTTGGCCTGCCACACTTTCTATTATTCTACTATACATTTTCTATTGTGGGAAAATGGGAGGGGGGATTGTA